CAAGCCATCTACCTAGCAATATCACATGACCCCCATCTGAAGGGGAAGTGGTGAAAACATATTTTTTAAAGTTACTTGATTTTTCCTATTAATTTATATTCCTAAGGTGTGGATGGAACCACTAAGACTGTGGTTGTTTATGGAAGCAGCAACCAACTAGAAAAATATAGCCCTATTGTTGCCATAGTGATCATAAATTACAGTGTCATTCCACTAGAAATATCATTCACTTGAAAATCAAAGTCTCCAAGGGACAATAAGCTGGGGAAAGTATAATATTGGTAGGATGGTAAAGAAATCTCAAACTCTAAGACACAGCAAGACAGGTGGAAAAGAAGTAAGTGTCTCAGTGTACTCTGTCTCAGGTCACAGGCAGAGTGGAGAGGTGCTCAGGAACCTAGTATTAGAAATCAGCTAACTTCCACACCTGAAGACTATCTGTTTTCAAGAGTAAGGGAGGGGAGGTAGAGAGAAAGCGAGATAGGAGGAAAGAGAGAGGGAGGGGAGAGGGAGGAAGAGAGGTGGGGAGGGGAGAAATTGAGACTGAATCCATTCATGAAGGTGGAGGCCCCCTGACCAACACACCAAACACCAGACCCCCAAGCCCCAATACTGCCCTGTTAGGGATTAAGCTTCCTGCACATATTCTTAGGGCAAGACATTCAAATCATAGCATCCATAGCCTTTCTCTCTCACAAGTAAATTAAAGCTAATATCTTTTGAAAGACTCTGAATTCTAGCTCTGGGAAGCAATGATGATCAAATTCAAGACTTACTCCTCATGGGAAGCTGAAGTACATGTTGATGAGATTATTTTCTAAAGAACATGGATTTTAAACAGGCACATTTCATGACTCTCAATCCAAATTCTTTCCATGTTATTGCTTTCTGGCCTCTGAAATAATTAATGACTGCCTATAAGTTATGAACAACATTTGAGGATACTAACAACCCATGTTTACTTCGTTTAACTCTCTGCGTTCAAGGCCAAGGAGGTAAGATGATTTTGTGGATGGTCAATATTTTCTCTTATTTTGAAAATTGCACGAGATATGAAAATTAGCACAACTGACTTAACAGAAAAATTGAAGACAATTTTGCCGACATCATTATCCCCGATTTACTTCTATAATGGTACACAGAGCACTGTATTCAATGGGAAGCTGTTTCCAACTGTTCTGAGGAGAAAATGTTTTATTTCTCTGGCAAGACCTCAATATATCCTCTATGTCCTATGGTCATGAAGCTTGAAGACTGGTAACCCAATCTGGAATCAGACTCTTCTGGACTAGGATTTCACCTCTAATAATGACAGCAACGATAGCAAAAATCAAACAAAAAACCCTTAAGGTCCTTCAAGTCTACCCTGTCTCTCTCATGTAAGCCTTCTGTTATATTACAAAATAGTAAGACCATCAGTAAGCCATCTTGATCTTGTATTTCTCAGTCCCTACAGCTGTGAAGTAATAAATTTCTATACTGGTCTCTGGCATTGTATTGCAGCATTGTTTATTGGAGTTCCAGACCTCTGGCTAGGAGTTCTAACCCTCCTGTTGGCCATCTTTCTTACCTTGAGAACCAGCGGCTTAATTTCTTGCTCCATAAATTGGGGATAATGATACACACAGTGTGTTGATTGTTAGGAAAAGCATAGAGGAAAGGAAGCATTTACCACAATGCTAGGCCAGCGAAATGTCACCCACAAAAAATTAAAGGAAACAGGGTAGTGGGTAGTGAGTGTCTGAAAACAGAGAAGTGTGGGGTGGGGTGGAATACGCTCCACTGGGCCTGAGAATTGAGACAAGCACAAGAAAGGAAGAGGTTCTGAGCTCATGGGAGTAGAAAACCAGCAACCTGAACTTTAACTTAACTCTGCTCCCTTCAGAATTGAGTTAATATTCCTTATTATCTCGCATGCCTAGGGAGCAGAAAACTTGAATAGCTCATTCAATATAACCCAAAGATCTGATTAAAATGGATAAATAAACATAGATATAAAAAGCTGTTCCAGCAAATCTAGAACCCCTAAAACATGAGCTGCTGCTCAATATCAAGGTATTTGTGGGCCGGGAATTTAGCTCAGTGGTTCCGCTGCCTGCCTCCCAAGTGCAACTACCCAAGTTCAATCCCCAGTACCCCCAAAAAAAGCATGTTTGGTACATTGCTATCTAGAGCTGGGGATTTCCCAAAAGGTGATCTTCAAAATGCCTGTTGTAGAATCATCTAGAGTATTTGTTTAAAATACAGAATCTAAGTTGGGGATATAGTGCAGTGGTAAAGCATAATATGCCTAGCATGAGTGAGGCCCTGGACTCAATTCTCAGAAAAAAAAACAAGGAAAATTCCAGGTCCTACAGGGGCATCCTAATTCAGAATTTATAAAGTAGACACAGAATGTGCTTTTAAATCTATTTCTAAGTGACTCTTATGTGCACTCCCCTTTAAGAAGTACTGAAGGACAGGATTAATGAGGCCCTAATGGCCAAGAAATGGTTTTAAACACTGTCTCTCCACTGCCAGTACCTTTCTGTGCAGGAAGAATCAAGGACATCTTCCAGAGTCATTTGCCTCTGCGTGGCTTTTCTAAGTGTAAACACCCCAAAATTTGTCTAATTTCTGGAGGTTTTATCTGTTACTCCAAAAGAATTAAAACAATTTTCCAGATCCTTAAAAGCTAAGTTTACCCTCTTTCTCCCAAATTAACAAATATAAGCATTGAAGACCAGTTAACAGAAGATCGAGAAATGCCATATCACAGGGAGAAATTTTTTTGAATATTTTTTCTGAAGGCATGATAATAGAGATTTCTAAAACCACTGCCTTATGCAGGTTGTGTAGGTTTCATAAATAACACTACATGGAATTTTCACTGGGAACCCAAAGAGATACTCAGGTAGTAGCCCACATTTCCCTCTCTACCATCAGGACAGAAGGTTACTGTTGCAAAGCAGGAGAGAAGAAGAAGCTCTGAAATCTCCAAAGTATGGTGAGTAATTGCATTCTGGAAAGAACCTGACAGCAACAAGACTGATCTAAATTAATGAGGCTTCACCCTTTGCCCGTTCTCTGAATGCTGATTCCAGAAGATGTACAGATGAGATTTGTAGTTGTGCTTCCCAGACAGGTGTGGAAAGGTCAAAGTATTTATGGCAGAAAAATAGCTCTTGGGATGACTCTGACTTCAAAATTACAAGTCATTCCCTTCAACCAGACAAATACTCTTAGAATGGGAATCTAGGTACAACTTCATTTTGTTTCTTTTTCTAAGACCCAGTTAATGCTTTATAGACTTCAAAGGGCTTTGGAGCAGTTATTCAGGTTCTTTACTCAGCAATTTTCTGCCAAGAGTAAATGGGAAGATCATTCTGGAACAAACACAGAAAAGAGCTTACAAAAATGTAAGGCAGATTTAGAAGATAAGATACTGAAAAACAGGCCTGGTGATTTTCTAATCATTCATAGCTGTCAAATAGCGAGGTAGCGATGATTATGTAAAACCTTCTAGGTGAGAAGTTGGTATACTCCAAGTTCACTTAGGGGTAGGAGCGATATGAATCCATGTAACTCTCCCTCCAGCTAAGATGAAAGCTTTGTCCGGAGTCACCTAATCATTCTGAAACCCCACACAAATGATTTTTAGAGAATAAAACTCCAGAACAGTTGTATGAGAACTATGTAAAATTATATGTATTTCACCAGAATAGAGAAAAGTAAAAAATTTTGTGATTTTTTTTTCTTTTTGGCTTGTCTACTAGAGGAAGTAAAGGACATAACAGCCTATGCAACAATCCTCAGCAAGATGCAGAACAAACATCAGAGATTTGGAATTGGTACTGCCTGGCTAAGAGCACAAATCTGGAGATACCCGGGGCTCCACGCCAATGCTCAGATTTCAGTTCTCCCAGTCACTGCTCTCTGTCAACTGTGTTTACCTTCTCATTTTTCCAAGATCTTTACCATTCTCAATCAAGATGTTCACATGGAGCTTCAAAGACTGGAAAAGTCAAGGAAATCCAGTGCTCACTATTCCACATCTTTGTCCTAACTCTGTTTCATTTGTCAATCTCTGTGCTTATGATAATAAAAAAGAAATGAAGAAAACAGCTTTCACCAAAGCAGCAGTGAGCAATAGCTCATCTTAAGCCATGAAATACATCTTTAAAGGTGGGTACATTTCTTAAAGATTTCAGAAAATTGATGCATGGATTTCAAAGTTCTTATTTCAGTTCCCAAATGCAAGATGAACAAGCCACACAAATGTCTCCCTTAGCAGACTTTGTGTATGGTGCAAGTTTGTCCCCAGCACATTTCACTTTTCTAGAGCCATCAATTTCAGTGAGCACCTTTCAACATTGTCTCACCCTTGAGTGAGGAAAGAGGAGATAAAAGATTCACAAAGCAGGCAGCCCAAATTCCCAAGAATTTAGAATGTGACCACGGCTCTCTTTCCCTCCATGCCTACGATGTACAACTTTCACTCTCTGTGGGCATGAGGTAAAGCTCTGCTCTCTCTCTCAAGCTGGCCACCCCTGCACAGACATGAAAGCAACCCGTCTGCAAGATAGGTGGATGGGCAAGAAAGCAACTCATGTACTCTCAAAAAACCACTACAGCATCAGTGGATTCTGGGGAGAGATGATGGAGTTTTACCAGAGATTCAGTTAAATAAGATTTTGCTTAGGTTCGCTGTATTTGGCTGGGTTTTATTGCATTCTCAAATAGCACTCTGCCTCCAAATTCGGCAGAACTCTACACAGCCCCACACTGCACTTCATCCTACAGCACACCCATACACCTGAGATGAGGAAGGGGCAGTGAGAGACTGTATTAGCTCAGATGGAAAAATAAAAAATAAGGGCTGGTCACTCCCACCTCCATTCACAGAGGTTTGAAATATGCCTCTCCCTCTCACTTCAGTTCCAGCACTGCACTACTCAGCACAAGGAGCTTAGTGTTTCTGGTTAATATATGAGCACGCTTGTCTTTTAATGCAGACTTACCTACTTCCTGGCCTCAGATTTGGGCAGTCCATTGTTTCAGAAATTCCTTCCTCAGCTCTGTAGATCCAGCAGTGACTTTATATTCTGCATCCAGACATCTCTATCGCTTCAAGGCTTCTGGTTCCTAGGCCAGCCTTGGCCATCGTGCCTTCCAACATAAGTCAATTTGAAACAGCCAAAGCTTTAGTTTTGAAGATTTTGCAGGGGAAAAAAAAAAGTCATACAGTTGGTTAGGAAAATGCCAGTGATGATTTAGAGAAAAAAATTAAAGCTCGGGATTGTAGACTGTGTTAGTTACTTTTCTTGTTGCTGAAACAAAATACCCAACATGCAGAGTTAAAAAGGAAAAGGTTTATTTGGCTTACAGTCAGAGGTTTCAGTCCATAGTCAGCTGGCTCCAAGGCAGGGTGGCAGAGGGCCAACAGTTCATGGTGGACAGACAGTAGCAAAGCAATAAGGGACCTTAATGGTGTCATTCTTTCCCTTTTATCCCATCCAGACGATGGTGGTGCCAAACCAATCACTCTGGTGCACTGGTTTAGTAATCACACACCCTTCTTCTCAGCCCCACACAGTTCAGATTTAGCCACCTATGTAAAAGAAAGCCCCATTTCATGTTCATGAGGCTTTGTGTGGACATCTAAACACAAGCCGTAATACAGTTTTACTCTCAGAGATATAAAGGATAGAGGGGGAATAGGGCCCAAAGGAAGATCTACAGGGAAGGATTTTCTCTGGCCATCTCCTCAGAGCCCTTTGTTGATTAAACTGGCACTCATGTCAAGTTGTCACAGGGACCTGCTCCTCCACTGCCCATGGACTCTTCACAGTGCTTCTGAGGCTACATAGTCATACTCCTTGAAAGCAAAAAAGGCATTTAAATAACATTCATCCCTCCAAATACTTCATTTTACTGACAGAGAAACTGAGGCCCAACGTTGTAAAGGGACTTATCCAAAGTCACAGCAATAATTAAACAGATCACAGACTTGGGTTTCATCTTCACCACAGGTCTTGGCAGCTCAGCTCTAGCCCTCTCTCACTGCCAAACTAAATTCACTCCAACTGAGCTCAACTCCAGCTCACAGTGACAACAGGAGAGCACCTGGGAGAAATAGAGAGCACCTGGCAGAAATTCCAATCACCTTTGCCTGTCATTGTTGACCAAACTCTCCAAAGGATGATCAGAACAGGCCCAGAAGATTGCACCTGTTTTTTTGTTTGTTTGTTTGTTTCCAGACATCCAGTGTTTACCCTAGCACCCTCTTGAAATGTGCTGCATTTCACTTTACCTCTGTATATTTCAGTTTTTCACAAGGAAGTAGTAGAGGCTCTCAAGTGGATCACAGGATCTTTCCTTGGGCACCTGACACACTGTGTGGAAGAAGGGGAACACACTCTGAGGATGCTGGGAAGCACTATGACTCCAGAAACCAGGAGGAATGAAATTTGAAGACAATAGAAAATGACCCCAAAAAGTAGGGCAAATGTGACCGGAAGGAAAATAGGTCAGCTGAGAGCAATCCACAAAGATAGGAGTTCTCTGTACCTCATTATATATTGGGACCAGAAGAGATTCACTGAGCATCTGGAGATGTTTGACAGTGGTGATGAGCAGCTATTTCTCACTCATTGAGAAAAAACAGAAAGATGTGAAAAGAATTAGAAACTGACAAGAGACAAGAAGGACTGAATAAAACCATATGCCTGTGTCTGTGGCTGCAAAACTAAGTCATTGGTTTTGAAACTATTACCTTGTTTTAAACACTGAAGCTCTAAGTATTTGCAATGAAGCATCTCTGAGCCAGGCTGATCTCTGAGCCAGACTGTTTCCCACCTAGACCACAGATCCTGCCCCAGCTGTGAAGCCCAGCACTGGCCTTCTAGAATCTATTTCATTCAACATGTGAATTAGTTCCCATACTCAACACTATGAAGTTAGAACTCCCCTTTCTCTTTCTCTCTCTCTCTCTCTCTCTCTCTCTCTCTCTCTCTCTCTCGCTCTCTCTCTCTCTCTCTCTCCCCCCCTATCTTTCTTTCTCTCTCTCTCCCTCTCACACACACAAACACACACACATATCATTCCTTGGAGGACAAGGAATTTATTGCATAAAAATAAATTCTGCTTTTCTTAATTATATTTTTAAATGCTTGTAGAGATAGATAATAACATTTGGCCACTTTTATACCTCACAAGTGATTTTTTAAGAATCAAAATGAAAAGTAAATAATTTCCAAGAGTAGAGAATATCTGGTTGAATGAATAAATTAGAAGCAAATTGCCAAGGAAATTCCAATTAGGAAGATGCTACCCCCAAATTCCAGGAGCCAAGATAATTAGTGTAGGCAGCTCTGTCAGAAGATTTAGTTCACTCTGCCCCCAGAAAAGCACACAGGGAGTGAACCCCCAACTTTTACCACCCAAGTGAGAATATTCTTGGAGAAATGTAAAAAGTAGTGAGAATGAAAAGATTAACAAATCTCAGAGTTAGAAATGGGGAGGAGGCCATTGACATTTCACTTTGATGAGTCACTTTAGCCAATTGTCACGAGCAGGGTGGGCTGACAATACATGTATCTTTGGGATTTTATTAATTTTGCCTTCTAATGTTGGATCATTGGTTTATCAGAAAATCTTATTTGATTAAATGTGTCACTTCAATGCAGATGCATCTTTTTAAAGAAAATAAGTGACTGGGCTGTTACTCAGCCATATGTTGGCCCAATCCTAAGAGAGACCCTCCACAGGAATTTATTTTCAGTGTCATGAAACCAAAGAGGAAACCAAGACTCATTGCCATCACTGAAAGTCTATTCAGTGGCCAAATGGAGAAGCAGGAATCATATTTGCTAATTGGCTTCTCAGTTCTGGCAGACTGGGAGAGGGGGTGCCATGGATTAAAAAATTAAAAAATGCAGAGGAGGAATGGATTAATAAAGGGAAAGAATGTTCATGTCTTTTCTGGGAATAACCAGAGATTTTCCAGGAATTTGGGCTCTACTTCTTTCATTCCTTTCACCATTTTCATTATCATTATCACAGATATATACAAGACCTCGGCACACACTATACACACACATGCACACATACAAGATGCACTACACCATATACCACATCACAACACAATACATACAACACACACACACACAGACCATACTATATACCATACCACACAATAAATCCCATACATGTAATACACATAAACAGTACACTACCCACACAGAACACCACATATAAACCCACATACAACACACCATATACAATATGCACATATACAATGCACACATATACTGCACACACACACACAGCTACCCACACACTCCCATGCATAAATACACACACACACACACACACACAAAGCTGCACACCTGTAGCCTTGAAACCAGTCCTGAGCCCTGGCTTTGGAATGAGCACCCTAATGCCTCCAACTGCAGCCACCACCCAAACTCAGTACCAGGCAGAGTAGTCATCTGGACACTGCTTTTAAGAGTATAGACACCATCACAGTCCTGCTTCACAGTCCTGCTGGCCCTGCCCTTAGCCCTCTGCTTCTCTGGGCAACACACCCACAGGCTAGGTGCAGACACTTGCACCACCCATGACCCCTGGTTCTTACACAGAGAGACCCAACCTCTTACCCAAAGCCTGAGGATGTAATTTTTTCTCTACTGTGGTGGCCAGCTCCCATCTCTCCATGAAGCTCAATTCACAAGGGATTAAAAAGCTTTGAGGCCCCAGTATTGTGGGCTGGTTTCATCTTAAGGGGATTTCCTAACCAGACTCACCTAGAAGGATGAGGAATTAGGCAGTTATGAGACCACAAGACAAGAGACATGAGTAAGAAGTACCCAGGTGTGGGAGGAGTCATTGTGGCCAGTGTAGGCCTGCCCTGTGATCATGCAACCCAGCTTTCCAGATTGGGACCTTTGTGTCTGCCCCCACTTCCCTCAGTCTGCTCAGAGCTTTCACAAAGACCATGCTGGTCAGCTCATAACACATTCTTAGTCAAAGGAGAGGGTAGGGCCTAAACACCAGGAAGAGTCCCCATGCAACCTCAACTTCTTCTCCTGTGGTCACTGCAGGACAAAGCAGGTCCTACAGAAGTCCTACTACATGTGTTTATTTGCCTCCATGTCAGGTGATTTAGAAGGCTGTCAGAGCTCTTGGGGTTTTGTGACAGTTCCTGGCTGTGAGACAGGTTTTCCAAGTGAGTCATAACTTGGCAAATCCCAAGGGTCCAAAGTCTCCATAGTAGATTAGAAGAACACATGGAATTCCTAGCAAGCCTCAATAGATTTGCAGCATAGACTCCCAGTCTTTTGGAACATGCAGAAAATGACTCTTTGAAAAGCAGACCCTGTACATTATGAGGCTCTATTAAGAAGTGAGCTTTGTTCATACACCTAGATGAGCATCATGGGCTGCTGGCTATTGATCTAGCACATCTCAGTTGTCTATTACTGTGTAACAGAGTTTGCCAAAAGTAAAGAGCTTAAAATTACAATTTTAAGCGCTGCCTCCAGCCTCCACAGAGCCACATGGGCTGCCAGCAGCACTACCTCCTGGCCTCAGAGGAGCTTCAGCAGCTCACCAGCAGCACCTTCACACCATTCAGGGACCCCACCTCTGGCCCATCCCCATCCCTAGATCTACACTGCAGAGGTGCAGGGGGTTATAAAGCCATTGTTCTGAGCTCCGGAAGATAAGAGCAGAAGTGAACAACAGAGAGAGGACCTCTCTAAGGCTCCATATGAAAATTGAAGCCCATTGGGAAAATGAAGAAAACCTCTGCAATAAAGGCACACCAGACCACCATAGTTGGTAGGTTGGAGGGATCACCACCACCCCCGTCAGAACCTGGAAGATATTCAGGTGAAGGGCAGCTGGAACCTGGAGTAAAACTTGGCAGAGTTCAACCCAGCAAAAGGTCAGGGCCTTACAGACAGAAATCAGACTGAATCTTAGAGGACTGTTGCTAGCTTGCTAAGATTAATTGACTTAGATCTGCACACTGCTGCCCAAGATGTCTATTGTGACAACAGAGACATACCCTGAAGGTGGGCCTTTATTTTTATTTTTTTAATTACTTTTTCTCTTATTTTAATTTTAATATTTATTTATGTATTCAAATTTATTTTTTCTCTTTTTTCTTTTTATTTCTCTCTTTCTTTCTCCCTCTT